CAGAGCAGGCAGAAGGACCGAAGGACACTGCTGAGGGGAGCAGCGGGCGGCAGGAGAGGTCTGCAAGCCATGCGGGACCCTCCTTCGGTGGCCGGGGAGCAGCCGGGGATCGAACTGGCGCTGCAGAGGCTGCGGGCAGCTTTGCAACCCAGCGCTCAACCGCTGCGCCACCGGGGAGGCCCTACTTTCATTAACTCTTAATTATTATTGAACATTTCAGAATGTCAAAGATCATTTCTGAATGTGGTCTGAACAATTTGCATTACAGAGTATTTGCACGGAACTCAAAAAATATAACAATCATGTGAATAATTCTGATGTTAATAATAATCGTAACAGCAACACTAACACTCTAGCACGAGTGTTAGAAAACCTGCCAATTGCTTTTTAGAAATCACAGACGTTAGAGACATGAGGTCACTAAGAATGAGCTTCCGGTGTAGCTCCTCATTCTTACAATCTTACATAGTCATCCGACACCCACATATTAATAATTAACAAAACTTAAGTCTCTGACACTAAATGCTTTTATCTTTTTCAGTGGTTTTGCTTTTTGTAAATACTCAAGCCCAATTTTATGAAAAAGTTTAGAATTCTTAATGAATTAAGTCTGTATTCATAGCATTTTTTAAAGTTTCGAGAATTAAGAAAGCCTGGAGCATGGACAGTCTAAACCTTGCTAGCACCATCTGCAGGATAAACGTGTAACCCAGCGCAACTCTAAGCCAGCACCTGGCAAACACAGCTCCCGTACGCAAATATCTGCACTTCGTCAGGGCAGAATTAAGAATAGGGAATTAAAACCAGGAGACAGATGATCACAGGCTTTCATTCCTAATTCTGCACCATGTATCCTCTGCTCTGGCCCGTTCCCTTCAGGTCCCCCGAAATATTATATTGAACATAAATCAAATGAGTATCCGGGACCCCTTAAGCACTTTCCTTCTTACTGGTTTCTTATAATCCTGCCTCTCTCTCCAACACTTCAAAACAAGTCATCTTTCTAGGAAATGGTATTTGATTTTTTTTCGTGTGTGTGTGTGTGTGTGTGTGTGTGTGTGTGTGTGTGTGAGACAGAGAGAGAGAGAGAGAGAGAGAGAGAGAGAGAGAGAGAGAGAGAGAGAGAGAGAGAGAGAGAGAGAGTATGTCTTGGGATTTACACCCCATCCACTAAAATGTCTCAAGGGGTGAAAAATCTTCCTAACTGGTCTGCCAAGTTGCTTAACTCATTCCACCACCCAGTGTGAGCTTTATGAAGTGTTCCAGGAGCAATGGCTTTAGACCACATTATCCAGTAACACTGCGCTCCTCCTGAGGCCCGGAAGGTTTTCATTTCACGATAACCATGAATCCTAACTCTGGGGACAAATCCATCTTCAATTTGGCCCTCTTACATTTTTTTAAAGATTTATTTTATTTGTTTATGCATATAAGAGCTGGGGTGCAGGCCAGAGGTGCGGGGGGTGAGAGGATTCCCCAGAGACAGAGTGGGGAGCAGAACAGGCAGAGCGACTGAAATCCACTGCTGAGGGGAGCAGCAGGGAGACAGGAGAGGGCTGCTGTGCCATGTGGGTCAGCTCCCTGGCCAGGGATTGAACTCATGTTGCAGTGGCCTGCGGATAGCTTGATGGCGCTGAGACTTTAACCCCTGTACCACGAGGGAGGCCCCGGCCCTATATTTTGAGTAAAATTTGCGTCCAACTTCCAGTAATTTAGGAAAGTGTATGACATACTTTTAAGTGCTTATCTTGACTTATAGGATTCTTACCATATCCGTTTTTACCTTCACCTGGAATTTGTTAGCTGTTTGTTTTACCATTTCATATAATATATGTATGTACACACACGCACACGCACACACACACACACTCACATGTAAGCTGCCTCAAATCCTCTGTGAAAAATGCAGGGGGGCGATGATTAAAGTCTCAGAGGTGAAGCAAAGAAGGAAGGAGAGAGAGCATGAGGGGCAGAGAGGGAGGGAGGGAGAGAGGAAGGAACTCAGCATGTGTGTAACTCATAGGGCAATAGCTTGAAGCCCTGCATGGAAATGCACATGGTAAATTCTGGTAGTTAATGAGTGTGGCTGTGACCAGCTGGAGTTATGTTGATTTGGTGGCCCAGACTCCCCTGTGTCAGGTCTACAAAGAGTTGAACCAAGTATGTAGAATGAGTTCATACAACTACATCGTTTCTTCACAGCGTTTCTCTGTCCCCAGCACCTGGTGTAGTGTCTGACGTACAGTATGCATGGAAGAAATATTCGCTAAATGAATTAACAATTGACTGTATTCTATTTCACCATTTCTTCAAATCGCATCAGACATGCACATCCTGTTGTGTTAGGCTCTCATCACATTTAGTATGCACCTGCTTCTTCTCATGGTTGATCTGGAATGAATAGGTGTGATGATTTTGTAAGCTGCCATTCTAGTGACAGCTCATTACTAAGTTCTGTACGAGCTTCTTAACACAGAAAAAGGGTCAGAGCAAAGACAAGGCCTGAGTCCTCTGACCAGCTCTACTGGCTGTTGATGGTACTTCTCGTCTGCTCCTTATGGGCCCATGAGCTTTGTAGGACATGCAGAGAGAGACACTGTAGTTCTCAATTTGAATGTGAATTTTGGAATACTTGTATTAAGATTTTTATTTCTATTTGTTTACTCATTTGTTCCTTCAATGACAAAAGTAGAGCATTTCTAGATATAGATTTGCCTTATGTAAGTGGCAATAAAATAATCAAATCCCCATTCATAAAAGTTGCTCTTTTTTATTTCTCTCTTCAATATATAGAACGTGTAATTTTTTGAAGTGATGCAGTAAGCATTGAAACTTGGAGGCATGTCCACGGAAAGGCCTCTGAGTTTTCAGATGGGTTCTTCCGAGGAAATTAATGCTTTCTGCGCACAATGAAATATAAATAACTTTCATTCAGGCTATTCAGCTAGTTGCCATCCTCAATTCAACCATGAATTTTTTCACATAAAACATACCTCAGACCAGCAAGAGCCTTGTCTGACAATTACCACTTTTACTTTATAAACAATGTCTCCCTTTTTTTCCCTAGAAGGAGGATGTAAATGAGTAAAGTATGCCCTCCATGAGAGTGGGGACTCTCTTTAGAATTTCTCTGTGTTTGTAGGACAGAAAAGTTATCTATTCACAACTGGGAAGAAATCCATTTATCTTTGTGCTTCTGGTGTTATAGTTCCTTGGAAATAAACTATGGGTACAATTCCATGAGGAAGTGTTGGATTGTACCTGTCTCAACAGTTGACACAAAATAAAACAATTATAGCTGAGTGTTATCTTTTGGGTCATTGTGATTTCAAAACACAATTCAGGTCATAATTATTCTATAATTTTCTTTTTTTGTATCTAATTTCCAGGCCATTCTTTCAATTTCTCAGAAATAGGCATTAATTCAGAACATTTCCTATTAAATTATTCTTAAAACTACAATAGGTTGATTCAAAATGTCATAATAAACATAAAATAAGCTTGTAGTACTTGTATTACGAGCTACGCATATACTTTTCAGAAAACATTTAAAAATTCAGTAAAAATTTTGTCCAAAGGGTCTTCTAGAATTTATAAATTCCGTGAGTCATACATATTTGAAAATTATGAAACTTGATTTTTGCTAGACGTTAATGTATGTTTTTAAACTAAAAAAGCTCAAAATAGAACAATATTTTCTATTTAGTCTTGCTACTTTGCAAAACATTTTCTTTGCAATGACACAGAATTGTGTAAAATCCTAAACATTTTTTTCAATAATGAAGGCTTCTCTATCTCTTTGAAAGTATGCTTTCATCATTTATTTTGAATGCATTTAAGATTTTCTTGTAAATTTAGCAAATAAATAAATCTGTGTTAATCTCTTTAAAAAGGTAAATTATGGGATCCCTTGTGGGATATAAAAGTTAGCCATTCATCTCCAATCTATTTAGAATACTTCCTTGATGACATCAATTCAATTGTCAGGTCAACAGACGTTACACTGGAGAGTGTCCATTGTATTACTATGCAGCATGGAATTTTACCATGAAATTTTTTTTTTTAATTTTAAGAAAACTCTTTTCGTAAATAATGGAAGGGAAGGCAGAACAATTTCAAGTAGAATTTCTCACCATAGGAACTTGTGTTCACAGACTGAAAATTCTGGATTAATGCATATTTATAAAAATATGGAACTGCTACCAGTTAGAAGAGACTAATGTGAAAATCATGCCTTTGATCACCTGGCCCGAGATAGGGCACAGGGCAGGTGTGCAGGACAGGGTGTAGATTGGTTAACAATGATAGCTGACTTTTTAAAGCCATGTTGTTTTGAGGGAAGTCTTTTCAATTTGCACAAGTGCAACATAATGTAAGGGAAGATGACTAGACCCAACCAAGTTTGCCACCCTCCCAAAGTCATAAGCACAGTGATATAATTAACTCACGTAGGCCAGTCCTGGCTCCTATAAAATGAAAGTAACATGACCTTCTCATCCACATTTGTAGAATAAAAACACTTTAAATACTCATATTTTGTTGAGGCATAAGTCTCTATAACACAACAAATCCGTGCCCGTTTTTCACACCCCCCCAAGCATGACAGATGAGGCAGTAGTCGGACACTAGTACCCCAAACCACCTCTGTTTCTCTTCTCACTGTGCATGAATTGTTTTCATTAATAATAGGAGAATCACCATGCAGAAAATATTGTAAAGAAATACAAGAACTATTGAATACGTGCTAAATACTGTATTGTGTAATTTATTCCTACACTGGCAACGGTTTGCACTATGAATAGAAACAAAGACTGTGCATATCATCGGAAAAGCATGGCATTTAAAATTGGATGGTATGAATTTATTTTTAAAAGGCCCTCCTATCACTACTTAACAAACAAAAGAAATTTATAATGTGAGAAAAGTAAGTTAAAGTTATAAAAGTAGTGCTTCTTTCAACTCCATTTGCCTTGCATCTGAATGCTGTGTTGTGTTGACAGATCTGGGAAATTTTAGTGGCCGGACGAGAAGCGCAGTCTCTGTGAGGGAAGGCCAGGGGGTTGTTCTGATGTGCTCGCCTCCGCATCATTCACCAGGTACGGTAGTGTCCATTCTCTATTGCTGCTGCTGTCTTTGACTCTGTGCTCATGCTTTTGGCGGGGGAACATTCCAGGTGAAACATGCATGGATTTCTCGACGTGTGTCCGAGCATGATGGAAGATCACGTATGCTGAATCCTGCTGGACAGGGGCATTAGCGCCTGTGGTGAGATGGCTTGAACGCCATTCTGACTGTGGGCGCTGTGCTTGGATTTCCTCCTGCCACCAGTGAGGAATCTGCTCCCTGCAGCACCAGGGAAAAGACAAGCTAAGACCCGAAAACTTCTCGAAGTGATCTGGCCTGTCAGGGTTGAGTTCACTGAATGCCAGTGGGCCACTTGCTTCCTTATATAAACCAGGAGCTGGGTAGTTTATGGTGCTATTTGTCATGCTGGAGAAAAACTAAGAAATAGTTATTTTTATTTTCCAAGAAAACAGTAATTTATTTATTATTTTTGGCTACTTGAATCGTTGTGTGTGTAAGTGCTGGTAATAGGTAAGTACTTGATGGTGGTTGAAGTAACAGAACAGTAAACTATTCAGATTAATTATATTCCCTTTTGTCAACTCATAGCTAATTACACTAATTTTGTTTGAGTCCTATAATTTGAGATAAGGGGCTCTTTGTACCTCAGTATAGTTTTCCTGTAATACAATCTGGAAAGTAGGTTAGAGAGAGATCTCAAGTAGAGAGAGAAATTAAGAGAGAGAGGTCTGTTTCTATCTGAGAAATAAGGAAGACTTAGAGGTAAAATCGATACAAAGTGAGTGTCCTGCGAGCTCATCAATATTTCTACTTTGCTTATTGTGAAACCATATTTGTCTCTAGGCTGTATAACCAGTATAGTAAGGAGACCCACTTGGGTTCTGCCATAGACGATTCTTTCCCTACGTTACAGAAGAACAACAATCAGTTGTCCTAGTTTCTCACCTTTCTCTCACCTTCCTTTGAACTTTTATTTTTTAGTTGAAAGAAAAAGTAAACTAACATTTCAATAGGAATTTTTTAAAATATTTATTTATTTTATGGACGAACTAGGGTGTAGTCAAAGGTTTGGGGGGTGAGAGGATTCAGCAGAGACAGAGTGGGGAGCAGAATAGGCAGATCCACTGAAATCCACTGCTGAGGGGAGCAGCGGGGAGACAGGAGAGGTCTGCTGTGCCCTGTGGGTCAGACCCCTGGCCAGGGATGGACTTCAGGCCACTCAGGTGGCAGTGGTGATAGCTCTAGGACTTAACCCCTAGGCCACCAGGGAGGCCCAGGAAAACATTTTAGAAAATGCTTAGTTTTGAAATCTGAATGATAATCACTCTTAGGAATAATTTCTGAGCTGTACGCTCCTAATTTCTATGTATCAATTCAGTCATTCTAGTCCTGTGAGAGACTCGGGACTTCTCAGCAAATATACCTAGTCTTACCCTCATGTGAATCATGATTTAGATCCCTTCAAATAAATGTATTTCAACTTTTTTATGGATAATACAAAAATATTTTACTGGGTTTAGGAAAAGGTCATAGCATCAATGTATGTGGTTATACAGATTGAATTTGAAGAGCAATATCAGAGGAATATTTGTTAGAAATTAAGATAAAAAAAGGAAGAAAGCAGCCGGGAGCTCCACAGAAGAGGCATGTTCCTCATCAGATACAGGCATTCACAATGGGACTGGTCCCTTGGGGGGAAAAGCAAGATTTTCTGAGAAACAATCTGTATTGCAGGCTGTCATTGAGATGTAAATAAAATGAAATGGGAGACACACCATAAAAGATTATACGTAAACAAGTTACTCAGTGGAAAGCTGTGTAAGATTTCTGATAGGTAGAAAATAGTGTAATGAATTGTGCACTTGAAGAGCATGAGATAAGAATATTTATTAATAGTTGATTAATAATGTGATTGCTGAGATCAGTAAGAGCAGAAGCAATTGCTTTTGTATATTTATATGTTATAAGAAATATTAGACCGATGCTATATTTTAGGCCTGTAAGAGAGCGTGTATGTGACAAGATGCTCATTTTGCAGTTTTATGCTAAATTATTCACTCAAACATCAGAGCTAACACCGTAAAGATTTAGGAGACCATGTTTGGCCCCAAATGTCAGGAACAGCTCAGTATCCAAGCCAAAGTCTAACGCAAACCAGTTGGGCAGTCATCACTTGATCAGCCAAACCCTCTGCATCTCCAGCATCTTTGAACATTCCTTCTGTATTCTTGCCTTACCGAAACTTGCCTCCCCACTAACGACATGACTTCTTTAGAGTTATGGTTGTTTATTCTCCCAAGTTAGAATAACATTGGAGCACCCAGCCTCCTTTCTCCTCACTGCCCATTCTCGTCTCTTCCTTACCCCCAGTTTTGAATTTCAAGCCAGCAGACACTACTACAGTGTTTGTTTTGTTTTGTTTTGTTTTGTTTTGTTTTGTTTTGTTTTGTTTTGTTTTGTTTTGTTTTTCCCCAAGCCATTAGCACACTGCCAGCTCATCGCCCTTCCTCCCTGAAGGTCTGCTCTCCTGGGTCACTGTTAGGTGTGGCCAGCACTAACACCAGTCTCAATATTAGGTGATTTCAGCTGGTCTCAGACAACAGCCACTCCTCTCCATTCCTTTCAGTTTTGTATTCTGAAGGACCTTGTTTAACAACCAGCCTTGGCCCCTTGATCTGTTATCACCAATAACTGCAGCCTCTCAAGTACCACTCGTAGAATCACCCCATCCCCTCAACAGAATCATTCCATTCTCTGAAAAGCGTTCACTATCTTCTGCTCACACAGGAATTAATTTTGTAACCTCGTTAAAACCTATGATCACTGATTCCTTTTTGTAGGAAAGGGCAGAGAGACCTCATTTTGTTTAAAGATTTAAGATTTGGGGCTTCCCCTGGTGGTGCAGTGGTTGAGCGCTGGGCTGCGAAGCTGCCCGCAACCTCTGCAGCGCCGGTTCAATCCCCGGCCACCGGCGAGGGTCCCACATGGCACGCAGACCTCTCCTGCTGCCCGCTGCTCCCCTTAGCAGTGTACTTCGTCAGTCTGCCTGTTCTGTTCCCCGCTCTGGCCCTGGTGAATTCTCACACACACACCCCACACTTCTGACTGTACCCAGTGCTTGCATAAATAAATAAATAAACAAACAAACAAATAAATAAATAAATAAATCTTAAAAAAGAAGATTTAAGATTGTTTTATTTATTTTTTTCCTCAAATTTTATTAGTCACTCATTTACATATCTATCTAACTTGGGAGTCCATTTTCACACCGCCATCTGTGTAGATGCTTCTGTCTTCCAAAATGCCCTTATCAACGCCTTACCTCCTCCCTTCCCTGTCTCCTCATTCCTCCTAGTAAGCAGTGCATTTTTCACAAAGTCTAAGATTTTTTTTTTGTTTTTGTGCCTTGCCAGTCTGTGCTCGTTGGTTATTTATGGTCCATAAATAAGTGAAACCATCTGTCTTTTACTTTCTGACTTATTTCATTTAGCATCATCACCTTAGGATGCATCCATTTGTCTCAAAATACCCCATTTCATCTTTTTTTTTTTTAATAGCTGAGTAGTAGTCCACTGAGTGCATACATTCCACAGTCCCTCCATCTCATCACCTACTGTTGGGAACTTACGTTGGTTCCATGTCTTGAATCTTTTGGATAATGCTGCTATGAACATAGGAGTGCATCAGTCTTTTCCTATGAGTGTTTCCAGGTTGGTTGGTATTGCTGAATCATATGGTATTTCCTTTTTATTTTCGGGTATCTGCATACCTTTTTCCATAAAAGCTACACTAAATTATATTCCCACCACCAATGACAGTTGTTCCTTTTTCTCTGCATCCTCACCAACATTTGTTCTTTCCATTCTTATTAGATATGGGCCATTCTCGCAGGCGTGGTGGGTTATCTTATGGTGATTTTGATTTGTGTTCCCCATATAAGAAGGGAGGTCATCTAAATGTCTTCTGTGGAAATGTCTTTTTAGGTCTTTTGCCCATTTGTCTACCGGGTTGTTTGGTTTTTGTTGCTGAGTGCAAATGATTGATGCCTCTACATTGTCACCCTTCTTACTCTCCTTTTATTCTCATGTTTCTCTCCAGTGATGATCATTTTCTTGCATACAGTCTCAATTTATCATCCCTGTTGTCCTTCATTGAATTGTCAGTTGGCAAAATTATTATCTTACTGTAAATCCAACTTCAGTCTACTGCTTGCCTGACCCTATTCAGCTTAATGCCACGAGGACAGGATTCTTGTAGTTTTTGTTCAGTGTTGTATTCCATGCCTAAAACAGTGTCTGAGCAGAAGAATAGCTGAGAAATACTTGTTGAGTGGATCTATGCATAATATGTATTAATAAATAAAACCTGTTTAGCCTATAAATAACAATCAGAGATATTAAGAGAGAAATAATAAACAAGAACAGTTTATGTAGTAAGAAAAGTTTTCTTACCTCTTTCTCAGAATGATGTGAACAAAAATAATAGTAGCCTAGATAAATGAAATATGCTTTTGAACATTAATACATAAGAATAAAATGTGGTACTTTTGTATTTTGGTACTTTTATATTTTATATTTATAAAATATAAATATTTTATATTTTAAACGAATTATCTAAGTCTGAAGGATTGGAATTTTTAGTTGAAGTCAAAATTGTATTTAGAAGTAGTAATTTAATTCTAGTGCCTTGCTTGACTAATTAAAGGGAGAACTTTAAAAATTCTCAGGAAAGTCAAGTCAAAATTCTTGCTGGAAAGCAAAGATAATTGTAGAAAAATAAGCCAGAGCTGTTTAATGAGAGACCTTGGGTCTTCGATCTTATTCAAGCACCTTCTAGACATGACCTCAACTTAGTTTTGTTGCAATGAGATTTCATATTGTAAAAGGAATTTAAAGAAACCTGATACATGCTAGAAATCTCAGATCCAAATTACTGTCTCATCCAAACAGTCATATAGCTCCCAAAGCACACCTATTTTAACTGATTATTGTGTTCTCCACTTTATTTCCTT